AAGAGCACGCCGATCGAGCTCACCGTGGAGCAGCTTGGGCGCATCGCCGGCCTCCCCTTCCAAGGCGACGATGTGTCTCACTATGGTGGAGAGGATTGGGTGCTCAACAACGAGGGCCTTATCCTCAACGAGCTTGGCATCACCGAGCTCAAACGCCATGCCTCGGGCCGCCCAACCATCCACTCCGCCAACCCCGAAGTCCGCCTCGTCCTCTACATCGTCTCCCGGATCATCAAACCGAGGAAGCACGGCCACACCATCATGCACGGTGAAGACCTCAAGCTCATCCATGCGATCATGCATTCGGCCCCAATCAATTGGGCAAAGTTTGTCATGACCAACATGACGATCGCCGCGTCCACCGACCACGATCACCTCCTCCCGTACCCGTTTTTGGTGATGGACATCCTTGAACGGTTCAAGGTAACCACCACCGTTGGCCCGCTCACGAAGGCCACGATCACCTTCCTCAAGCGGTCGGACAACGCCGCGCCTGCCACTGCCGCGCCACGCCGCACTGCCTCTGCCGCTGGCCAAGCCGAACCCCAGGCCCGGGCCAACCTCGCCTCCATCGCCGACTCCCTCAACCGGCTCCACCTCAAGATTGACGGGATGGGGAGCTATCATGACCGGCTCGACGTGGCTGTTCAACGCCAAGGATACGCGATGAACTCATACTTCCAAGGCATCAACTACGTCCCCCCACCGTACCACGGCACGTTCCTTGGGCAAGTGTACGGTGACGAAGACGAAGCCGACGACTCCTACGCCCCGTCAAGCTCCCCGGATGAAGACGAGTTCGACGATGCCATTGATGGTGATGAGATGGACATCGACGACGACGAGGAGGAAACCGAAGACGAAGACTAGGACTCCCCTAGAATTTCTATCTCTTTTACTTTAATTATCCTTTTTTTAATGCTTCCGTTGTAATCCGCTATTTCCCTTTATTAAATAAAATCATTTCGTTTATCTTTTTGTTAATGTCAAAAGGGGGAAGAAAAGGGCTATGCATATACTAAGGGGGAACGTCTCTATAAACGAGACCGTTTGATTTTAATCCAACCAATTTTTTAAGCACAAATTAAGGGGGAACTTTTTTTCACAAACTTTGAAAAACAAATATCCCTTAGTATGCATATCCCCGTCTTGTTTGCCATTATCAAAAAGGGGGAAATTGTTGGAACACGGGTTTACGCCTCCGTTGTACTAAACTGTGTTCGTTTTTATGACAGGTTTTGATAATGCCAAACCGCCGCGACATATCGAAGCTAAAGTGAGCAAAACTAAGGCGAAGGAACATGGCATGATGACTTGAGAAACAAGAACCCAGAATCAAGAACGAAGAACTAGAATTGTATTGAGTCGGTCTTAATGTGATCAAGACCGGCACAAAATTCCAAATCTTGGCTCTCTAGGCTCAATTCATAAAAATCTCTTTTACATATTCAAAAATATTTTTCTTAAGTTTTAAACTTGGCTCAAAACACTTGGAGTTCGCCCAAGCCAAAAACCAAGCCA